AGAGGACGGTAAGTGTGACACTGAGATCCGAAGACGTATTGGGATGGTCAAATACGCATTCCAACATCTACGCTGAGTATTACGAGACAGGCGGATTTCGTTTATAACAAAGAAAAGAGTACTGGAGAGCTACGTGATATCTATCCTCTTTTACAGCAGCAAATGTTGTACGGTCTCCATAAAGATGAAGAAGAGACTCGAAGCAAAAGAGGTATGCTTCTACAGAAAGAATACCATGGAACGAACATGTTAGCAACGATGAGGTTTTTGGAGAGCACGCAAAGAGGAAACAACACCAGAAAGAGGCGGCTGAAATTTCTGGGGCACGTAATGAAAAAGGAGGACTTGGAGAATCTGATACTCACAGGTCCGATGGAGGGAGGAAGGACAAGGGAAAGCAACCAGTGACATATATAGCGGGCTTATGTAAGTAGACAGCGTCTGGAAGAAATATATAAAAAAATATTTATTGAGATCTAAAATGGACGTAAAGAGCGATGAAGCGACACGGCATATAAAGAAGAATTGAAACCAGATTCAAAATCTGCAGAATTTTTTTCAAAGGCTTCTAGAGAGCTGCCTGACAGAGAGTGGCAAGAACATATTGGAAATAATTGGGAAGTTAATAAAACGTAATTTTACCTTATTTTTGGAAGAATAATCTTGATAAACAAAAACAGAAATTATTTATGACTCAGCCTAATACTATAGAATTAAGAAAGAAAATCAAAAAACAAAATAAAAAAAACAACAAAAAAAAACGCAGCTGACATCGTTACTTGATAAGTCATGCATCTACGTTAATTCAATACCAAAATTTGGAAAAATTTCACTTGCCTTCAAAGAAAACGGGAAAGAAAACCTCTCAACTGACAGGGATTTGGCATGTGATCAGAGAGAACATTTAAAGCAGGAATGAAATCTAAGCAAAGAATAAATAAAGAACTAAATCGATAATTCCGTTCGTCAAATATTCGTCGATGGTTTCTAAACTTCAAAGTTCATGATTAAGTCAGTTGTCGGCTGTCAGATATATTTTCTCCACTTCACGTATGACTTTCATAGAGAAATGCAGATTCGTTTTAAATCCCGTAAAATCAAGAATCCACTTCTTTCAGATATAAAACAAGACAAAATGAATCATCACCATTATTTTACAGGATTTCATCATTTATAAAAAAAAAAACAACCTTTCTTATGACTCATGAATAATAATAATAATAATAATAATATCGTTTATATTTCGTGATTAAATTTCGAATTGTTCATAGCTGCTAACAACAGTGACTTGTCTCGCTCGCTCGCTCCCCGCTCAACTCACCGTTGATCTGATTTTTCTTTTTAACTTGATGCGAATATTTTCTTTCATCTAAATAATTTTCTCTCTTTTGTCGTGTCTTTATTTAATCCAATTGATCTTTCTTGATTTTTACTTGACCTCCCCACCTTTCATTTTATTACATTTAGTCTTTGCTGCGGAGAGACTTGCTCCTAACACCGTCTTTCAAGTTTATCTATCTATCTATCTATCTATCTATCTATCTATCTATCTATCTATCTATCTATCTATCTATCACAGTCTATTCTCATATATATCTACCACAGTCTATAGTTATCTATCTCTATGTCTTTCTATCTATCTATCTATCTATCTATCTATCTATCTATCTATCTATCTATCTTTGTCAGTTGATGATCTATCTATCTATCTATCTATCTATCTATCTATCTATCGATCTATCTATCTATCTATCTATCTATCTAACACAGTCAATTCTTATCTATCTGTATGCCTTTCTATGTATCTATATATCTATCACAGTATGTTTTTTATCTATCTATCTATCTATCTATCTATCTATCTATCTATCTATCTATCTATCTATCTATCTATTCTTATCTATCTGTATGTCTTTCTATATATCTATCACAGTCTGTTTTTATCTATCTGTCAAAGCTTATTATTATCTATGTCTGTCGTCTCTCTGTCCCTCTCTTTATATACATATATATGTTATCTATCAGTTCATATTCTAATATTCTCCTTACACCGTCTTTCAAGTTTATCTATCTATCTATCTATCTATCTATCTATCTATCTATCTATCTCTCTATCTATCTATCTATCATAGTCGGTTTCTATCTATCTATCTATCTATCTATCTATCTATCTATCTATCTATCTATCTATCTATCTATCTATGACAGTCTTAGTCTATTTAGTTGGTCTAGTAGTTAAATACATATCACGTTTTCAGTGTTCCTTCCCATTTCACTCTCTTCTGATCTATATTTTTATCTATCTATCTCTCAATCTATTTTCTTATAAGTTGATATGGAACCAGCTTATAGATATTTTTTTTTATTTTTTAGATTATTTTAAAATCTTCTATTACCACATTTTACACACTGATCAATTTTCTTGCAATCTTCATCCATTTTTGTTCTTCACGCAGTTACTTCCCCTTATCGCTCATTGCATCATTTATTTTTGTTTACTTTGACTTGATCCAAATTTTACCTCGCCTTTGTTCTCCACCTCTTTTTTCTCTGTTCTCCTTTCTCTTTATCTTCCTTTCCTCTCCTTCTCTTTCCGTTGTATCTCTCTTCTTGCTTGTTTCATTCACCTTCTTTTTTTGTCTCTTTCTATCTTCTCTTATTTTGCTTTTCCGTTCCTCTTTCTGCTGTCGCCTTCTCTTTTCATTACCTATTTTTTTTCTTTTGTTCTCCTCTTTCCTCCCCCTTTTTCAAATCATCAGCTCTCTCTTTTAAGCGTCCTTATTCCCCTGTCTTTTCTTTATTTAATCCTATCGCCAATTTCTCGCCCGCTTTTCTCCAATCGTCATTATGCGCCATTTTGTCAATGCCTTTCTCTACACAACCCTTCCTCCATCTTTCTCTTTTACCGTCTTCTTGTTCTTAGTTCTTCTCTTTCTTTTATCTTCTTAATTCATTTATCGACTACCTCCTATTTCATCTTTTTATAGGGATAGATCGTTTGAATAGCTTTTAATGACTAGGTAAGTCCAGCAGACTTTTCAACACTTTGAGACGAAACCCATTCGAAAAATTGGTCTGCCGACAAGCCCCAAACAATCAATATACACAGAGGAATAGATCTGATCTCCTACTGTTGAATAAGCCAGGGCAATTTAGCACTTCATTTTGCAACTAATCAATTGCTCAGATGCTATCTATTCAAACGTAAAACGCTTTTATCATTTTGTGGTTTCCCTCCGATGTTATAAAGAGACAATATACAACTATGTATTATTTTCTCGTGCTAAGTTAATATATTAGCGGAATAATAGTTTAAAGAGAAAGGGAGTATAGTTATATTCATTGGTAATAATAATAATAATAATAATAATAATAATAATAAGAATAATAATAATTATTATTATTATTTTATAAAGTATCAAAAATGAATATACCCAAAGATATAAGAAGGCAGCGACATATGTGCCCCGGAAGATATGCAAGAAGCCCCAAATCGGAACTACTGAGAGATGAGAACCCCAACCAGACATGGTTACACAAAATAACGATGTAACTATCCTCTGGGACATGCCAATTCAAACTGACAAGGAAATAAAAGCCAAAAGACCTGATATTATCATGAAAGACAAGAAATTCAGGAAGTGTTTGCTTATTGACATAGGAGTACCATCTGAAAGAATCACCTCCATGAAAATTATCGAGAAATTGTCCAAATACAAGGACATGGAGATCGACATTAATAGGATCTGGGGAACGAAGACCGAGACTGTACCAATAGTAATCAGAGCACTGGGACTCGTGAGAAAAGGAACGGACAGTTTTACTAACAGTGTCCCAGGTAACATCAACATACAAGTTGCCCAGAAGATCGCCCTACAACAAAGATCCCATATACTAAAAAAAGTGCAAGCAGTTAAATGACAATTCTCCTATAAGGCCTAAGGATCTTAGTTTCGACCTGGCTCTACAAGATACAAAGCAGGAAACATAACATACACAAATAATAATAATAATAATAATAATTATTATTATTATTATTATTATTATTATTATTATATCAGGCTGCACGGTGTTGCCTCCCACAAGTTATATAACTCGGCATGATAGAGCAGGCCAATATCTGCACTGAAAGTATATAACTTTTACGGGAAAGAAACGACAAGAAACTGGTAAGAACATCACCCAGACCCGGTTACAGAGATAGGACCTGTAACAATTTTGTTGGCGTCTACAATACCTGCTGACAGAACAATCAAATCTAATCATCCAAACATTGTGATCAAAGACCACAAAAACAGAATGCCCTTTCTTATTGACATGGCAGTCCCTGCGGATTGTAATGTCTCGTTGAAGATCTTCAAATAGCAATCAGGATGCAAGGATCTTGAAGTGGAAATCTAAAACATGTGGCACTGAGAACATCAGTAATTCCAGTTGTACTTGGAGCTCTCGGATTGATTGAAAAAATGTTCCAATAGACTCACTGAAAGGGTTCGTGGTAGCCAATGTCTTAAATAAATACAAATTGTTCTCACTAGTACAGCTCACATATTACGAAGAGCTTTATCTATTCAAAGGTTGTGATCTTGGTTTTTTTTTTTTTTCCTTACAGAAATTATCAGCGGAAAATATCATGAAGGCATTTCTGACCTTAGGTACCTGGTTAGGACCTGGAAGGAAATGTGTATACAATAGAAATCAAATAGCCCTCAGGGTATCTGATTTTAGCTGATTGGAAGTATTAACATATAAACGCCTTGCCATGGTGAATTAAAATGGCCGACCCTAAGTATCTGATTTCGTACCACGACCCTAACCATGTCCATATTCAAACTGCAGGTCACTGCATATTTTAAGCTCTCATTGAAAATGTAACTAAGTTCTGGTTAGCATATTTTCGGAGGTTAATGCGGGTTTTGAAGAAACACAAATGTGTCAGAGCAAATGTCTGCAAGAGTGATTAGCTAGCCACGGTACCACATAGCCATACTCGACCACCCTTACCAAATAAACCGCAAGGGTGCAAACAACACCGTAATTACCTTAAGAACAGGGAAAGAAAAAGAAGAAAGCTTCATGAAAAGACGCTTACCAATGTAAGGAGAGGCGGTATGCAGCATAGATAATTTACAGATGCAGAAATAGATGAGATGAAGCGATAAGTTTAAAAAAAGGTCTTAATATAATGGCAGTTAATCAAGAATATATGATTGTAAATATGTGTGAATTGCTAATTTATATTGTACTAGCAGAATGGCCCAGCGTTGCCCGTGCTTGATTCAAAAATCGTACGACTCATACAGCAATCGCTATCACTTGACTTAAAATATTTTTGCCCTTCCTTGCCTTTAAAGTAGTTCCCTTTTCCGTGCTGATGTTGCTACATGCTTTGCTTCTTGCCTAACTCACACTGCGAATTTTTTCTAAGCTCTATACTAAACATTAAATCTGTTACGAAAAAAGAACTAAACAAAATGAACACAAAACGATCAGCTTTAAAAAAGGACTCGTAACTGGAAAAACCGAATGAAAAAAGAATGGTAACAACAAATACTTTTTCACACCCAACACATTTCTGTGGAATCAGAATCAACGTTGAGTTTAAGCAAGCGAATGAGCCAATTGGAGATTTAAATTTTTCCCACTTGTGACAAATGCAGCTATCGATTATATTGCATGCTAGTATGTTAGTTAACATTCGTGTCAGTCAGCTGTTGGCTCTCACGCTGGCCAATAGAATCTTCCTGCCTATTCGTGGCAGCCACTATATAGGCCCTCACTCTGGCCGTAGAAAATGGCCGCAAATTACATGAAAACTGCTGTAGAAGTATGAAAAAAACTATTATTTCCACTATCCCGATGGGAGATGGGAAATGCAAAGTCGATGTTGGCCTTCCCGCTAACTTGGAGCATGTGTATGTAAATTTTGGTGCAAATCTGTCGAAAATTGCGGCCGTGCATTTGTCACACACACACACACACACACACACACACACACACACACACACACACATCCTGCCTTTTATAGATAGAGATTCAGTGGCGATGCCAAAATCAAACAAGTACAGAAATAGGGAAATGATGGAAAATCTGGCAACGAAATCAGAAGGAACAATTTTAAAAAATGCCTTCCAGACGCTGAACAAATTATTAAGTAATATTTTCTCTAGAAATAAAGAAAAGAGTGCTCAACTGCTATGTAATACCAGTCCTCTAATACTGCAATGGATGGTGGAAACTTTCCTAACAGATGTAGAGGAGAACTTGAGGAAACATAGATATGGTTCTACAGAGGGATGCTGTGAATACTATGAACTGAACATGTAATCAACAAAAACATTTAACACGTTGGCTCACATACGACCCATGGGAGGGTCGTGGGTTAGCATATATGGAAGTTACACGCGGCCCTCTGTTTGGGTCATTTTCCGATTTCTTTTCTATGATGATTATTGGAAGTGGGATGCTATGATTAATTGCTTGGTACACCAGCAGCACATACATCCCCCCCCCCAAATTAAATATTTTTGAATATAGAAATGAGAGTTAGTGTCAATGTAATACATGTTTATTGGGAATTTTCCAACGACCCATGGATGGATCGAGTAGGACTCTAGGTTGTAAAATCGATACCTATAATATCCTTGTCTCATATATGAAACAATGTTAAAACATAAAGTCGCTTGTCTTTTTTTATGTGCCGTGTCCCTTCAGGACGTACGAAATCATGGTCCTCCACATCTTCGTGCCCCTTGTAGCTCTTAATAAGTTTCGTCGTTTTGTTATTTTTCTCAAACCCTTTTCCGCTATCCATTTGTTAAATCCTAAATCCACGCGTTGCTTTTCCCTGTCTCTCTTTCCCTCTGTCCGTCCTGTGTGTATCAGATTTTCCAAGCCCTCCTTCCTAATTAGGTGTTCCAAGAATTTCAACTGCCTCTCCCTGATGTTAAGTATAAGTTTCCTTTTTGTTTCCATTCTCTTCAAAACCTCATCATTGCTCACATGTTCGACCCAGGGTATCATCAGCATTTAATTATGATATGATATTGGAATCGTGGCGCAACGAATGAAATAAAACTTGGGAGTCAACGTATTAAGGAGAATGGGGAGCAAAAGGATGCTTAATTAGAATCAGAAAGAAACAATTGAAATTTCTAGGAGATATAATAAGGAAAGAAGGTTTGACGAGCTGGACACTCACAGGGTATATTGAAAGCAAGTGGGGCAGAGAGAAACAAGGAGAAACATACTTAACGGGATTTTACAAATGGAGGACATAAGAATGAGTAAGAACGAGAGTTATGGATCAAGTATTGCTAAGAGCGACAGAGCAAATACCAGTTATAGAAAATCATCGTTATTACTTTCATATTCGTTAGAAGCGATTAAGTTCCACTGAGATATTTTCTCTCCCAGGACTTTGTGTAACTGACATCCAAGAGCAAGGTACCAAGGACATTATAATTCTAATGTCCTCAAGCTTTGGGTCATCTTTTATCTATGCTACATATCGTTATAGTACGCACATTTTGTACCTCTCCTCGTACGCCCTTACAAAAACCTCATTTAGTAATCCTTTGCCTTTAATATCTCTTGAGGAGCTTGTATTGGGTACACAGGAGTAAGAAAAAAAATTAAAGGCCTGAATCATCACAGAACAAAGAAGAAGAAGAAGAAGAAGAAGAAGAAGAAGAAGAAGAAGAAGCATATAGATGATTATCAGAATGGAGGAAGGGAACAGAAAAAGAAGTAGAAGCAAATAGATGATTATCAGAATGATGGGGTGAAGAAGAAGAAGAAGAAGAAGAAGAAGAAGAAGAAGAAGAAGAAGAATAATAAAGAAGAAAGAAGAAGAAAAAGAATATAGATAATTACCGGATAAAGAATGAAGGGCGGGAACAGAAGAAGAAGAAGAATATAGATTATCAGAAATGAGAAGGGCATATAGATGAAGAAGAAGAAGAAGAAGAAGAAGAAGAAGATAGATGAAGAAGAAGAAGAAGAAGAATATATGATAATCACAATGAAATGAAGGAACAAAAGAGAATATAGATAATGATCGGATAAAGAGAAGAAGAAGAAAAAAGATATTCATTATGAAGGGAAGAAGAAGAAGAAGAAGAAGAAGAAGAAGAAGAAGAAGAATATAGATGATTAACAGAATGAAAGGAGGGAACAGAAGAGGAGGAGGAAAAAGAAGAAAATAGATTATCAGGACCAAGAGAGTGAATAGAGTAAATAAAAAAGGACGTGAAGACTAAGAGGAATAATACAGGAAGGAGAAAACGACGAAGTCCGCATAAATCAGCAGATTAAATAAATCCCTGAAATTAATCTTATAATAATAGATTAACAGAAAGTAGATTTAAAATATCAATGAATACGAAGAAATAAAAAAAAATCAGCTAATTTCGTCAAGCTAAATAAAATTTTTTAGACAGAAGAATTAGCAATATTGTCGTTCCTGATTGGTGGATCGGCTTCAGTCACTTTCTCACCGCTGAAAAATTACCTCCTTATGCCTTTTCTATATAAATACTTTTCTTCGGATTAGCTCTACGCTGTGGTACCTAAACTTTTGGTAATTTAAGCCCGGCACTAGACTGGCGACGAGGTCTGACAAATCCTCAGATGAGTTGGCTAGATATGACAATAAATTCTATGCTAACAGAACCTTTTCTCGCATTTCCCGATTGTGGAACACTCTTTCATCGTCACGCTTTCCAGTCAACTTTAATCTTCAAAAATGTAAAAGGGATGTTAACTCCTATCTACAGTCCTCCTGATTACTCTTCTTTTTGTCTCCCTTATTAGTAATGTTAGAGTTTTCTAGTTATTCCATTGCCAATAACACCTTGTGTCTTAGTGATTTTACTGCTTTGCTAAGGGTGATTTCGATTAAAAAAAAAAAATTAAAAAAATACACCATTCTGAACAGAAATAATAAAAAAGCAAGTTAAAGTAGAAATTCACATTTAAGAGGTACTGAAGAAATCTTAAATCAAACTCTGGAATTACAAGAAACATTCACAATAGATTGACAAGGTAGAAGAATGAAATAAGGAATTGAAAATATATTTTCTCGGTCCAAATCTATATTACAAAAGATATGCAGATTCTATGTCCGAAAATTCGTGTATGTTCGTGGTGCGCAAGGGTGACTTTTTTTTTAATCAATTTGTCCCAAGTAAGGCATCAATGCCACTAAGACGCAAGGGGCTACTGAGAGTGAAAATAAAAAAAAAAGATTTCAGAAGGAACCAGAAACAGAATCTTAAACAGGAAATAAAGAATAAACCCCTATACCTTTTCAAAAACCTGGAGAGGATTGTGAACTAGATGATAGACGAACCCATCTACTCCTATAGAATATTGAACATGGATACAAAACAAGAAAACGTATAGAGGTAATGGCTTGGCAAACATTAATATTTTCCCCAGTGTTCATTCTAAGCGGACATTTCTTGCCGCTTTCACAAACACACGCCTTGACAAATAACCTAAGTGTTCTCGATGGGTTTGGATTCGGGGAACATTGTTGCCACAGCAGAAGCCTGTCGTTTGGAAAATATTTTTCCTCAATATTTATTAATATTTTTTAATCAATTCACCCCAAGCAAGGCGAAAATGCCACTAAGAAGCGCATTGGTTTGTATCGATTCGGGCAAACTCACCCTTTTTTTTATGCATACTAGTTCGATATCTATTACTTCGCTGACGACAAGATGGCAAAGTTTTAACGTTTTAAATTTTATACATTCTTTTTAAACCAATTTACCCCAAGTGAGGCGATAATGCCGCTAAGACGCAAGGGAATACTGATAATGAAAGAGAATGAAAAGAAAAAGGAAACCCAATCCTAAAAAGAAAACAAAGGATAAATCTCCACTCCTGGAAGGAGTGTGAAAAGGACTAGCATAAAATAATTTTGTTTGAATGAAACTTTTCTTTTTAAGAACTTTTAGAAATTCAATGTCACCAGAAGAGACCATTTTAATGCCCAACTATCATGAGTCTATAGAGTTAATTACAGATAATTTCCTCCACATAGCACCCCTGTCTTCTGAATGATGTCTCAAATAAGCAGCTTACGTTTAACCATTTCACTAACTGTCGGGGCCAGCCACCGTTAGCTTACATTTAGTCGTGAATCACTTCACTTTCTGGATAGTCAGTGCCATATTCTGTGTAAACCAGCCCACGCACTTAATGGAATTATTACAATTCATAGGAAGATGAATAACTTTTTTTTACACATTCCTAAACACTTCGTCTATATTACATAATAAATCTTTATTAAATCCATCTTAAAGAATCTAACGGATACTTAAATACCACGACCAGTGTGAGTCGCAAATACGTCCCGTATCAACATGCAGAAAACCTTCAAACATAAATGAAGCATACGTTACACACACACACACACACACACACACACACACACATATATATATATATATATATATATATATATATATATATATATATATAGATAGATAGATATAGATAGATAGATAACTTTCAAAATTACCAAGGAAATTCAGAGCAGCATGAATACACCCAGCTCTTAAATAAAAACTTAAAAGACACTGACCAACACAAGGACTGACCAAAATTCATGTTACAAAAAAAAAAAAAAAAAAATGAAAACTACAGATAAAGTTCATTTTCTCCATCAAGTCATTAATTTCTGCTTCTAACAAGCAGAAAATTATTTTTCTCCTGATGATGGGCATGTTGGCCGAAACTATTCGAGGAATCTAACTGAAATCATAAAAACGAAAAAATATTAATATACAGCCCAGTGTGTCGGAAGATTTTATTTTTTGGATAATTTTATTGTTCAAAACATATATATATATATATATATATATATATATATATATATATATATATATATATAGAACATTTTACTATTCTGCTTTTAGTCGTCTTTTACAATTAAAATATATTTTAATCGTGTTCCAATGTCCGAACCTCATTCGCTATTTCTGCAATTGTGTCTATGATTATTTTGTTCTTTCGACAATGTCCACCTTTTGATAAAATGCTGGGTGAAAGGGTTTCGTACAATGTAAAATGACATATATATATATATATATATATATATATATATATATATATATATATATATATATATATATATATGGGGGATGTGGTTGTGTGTATGATATCATCAGAATCCTGAATAGACTAACCAGAATTATGGCACATTTACACATAAATTATTCACACGAACACTGATTGGTTAGTCAAATCCCCATGATAAAAAAGCAACAAAAAATTAAATAAGATAGCATGATTTTTTTTTTATATCTCCGTCTCTGGTGAAGCTTTAATAAGAGCAAAATATTTTAGATTTATAAACGTTTCCAATTTGTTCTATATCTTATGGTTTTGTTGGATTCCAATCCGTATTTGATAGCAGTTCATACAAAGAGGATAACATTACCGGTGCGAAAAACAATATTGTGGGAAATAAGAAATTTGATCATCTATATATTTATTCGTTTACTGTATTTGAACTTCGACTTTGCTAACCGAACGCTCCTCTGTGGCCAAATCGGTTAAAGGCACGTCAAGCTAAATGACGGTTCCGTATAGGATACAGGTTCGAATCCTGTCGAGGACGAATATTTTCTGTGAAAATTTCTCGGACATTCAGGCCGGTAAATGTCGTTTAATACTGTTTATTATAAACAGAGCATTTACTTAAATATTTGTATCTATAAAAAGAATGTATAAACATGTCTTAAAATAATTGTCGGACTTTGTCCATTTCATAATATATATATATATAATGGCTTTTTTACTTTACCTTGAGCACAGATTATTCTTACACTATAAAGTATTTATATGTTTTGTATACGATCGCTCGCTCGTATAGCTACGTATATTTACCCATTCGCTTATATATATATATATATATATATATATATATATAATTTCCTGAACCAGTATGGCACAGAAGTTTATAGAACTCAAATTGTCTTACTATATACCCATAGCTGGGGGTGAAGGATTCATAAGTTTCCCGAATATAATGATCACGACTGGATCACGAACTCGAGTCTCCGATTTCTCAATCCATTACTCTAATATGTGCCTTACATAGGGCCTGCCAAAATATGTATAAACTGATTATCTTTAATATTAGCTTTAAATTTGGGTTCTGAAATTATTAACGTCCAGTGTATCGAGTTGTATATCTAAGGCGCTGTCTATCGTTTTAGTTTCTACTTTATTTTCTGTATTCTTTTAAATATCGCTATTCTTTTAAAATTTATATTTCGTATGTGATTGCAACGCATATTTACTTTCAATATCTGTCTAAATATTAAACCCGATAAGTCCGACAAAGTAAAACTGACAGCTGCTATCGAAAAGGACCTCTTAATCATTACAGAGAACGATGTTTGCCTTTCCATCAGCATGGCCGCTTTAAACCACCAGGGTAGTAAATCTTTTCGTCTTCTTGGTCTGAGGTTTTCCATTGGCATAAAGTGGAGTGGTTATAGTGAATCAGTTACTAGTTCTACTGCTTGGAAAGTTGGATCACTGTCGTGCCTGCCAATATTTCTCACCCGTATTCATCTTTCGCATGTATAAATCTACTATTCGCCGGCGCATTCAATACTGGCACATATCTGATGCGCATTCAATACTGGCACTGGTCTGGTGCGCATTCAATTCTGGCACTGGTCTGGTGCACATTCAATACTGGAACTGGTCTTGTGCACATTCAATACTAGCACTGGTCTGGTGCACATCCAATACTGGCACAGGTTTGATGCGCATTCAATACTGGCACTGGTCTGGTGCGCATTCAATTCTGGCACTGGTCTGGTGCAAATTCAATACTGGCACTGGTCTGGTGCACATTCAATACTGGAACTGGTCTTGTGCACATTCAATACTAGCACTGGTCTGGTGCACATTCAATACTGGCACTGGTCTGGTGCACATCCAATACTGGCATTGGTCTGGTGCGCATTCAATACTGGCACTGGCCTGGTGCGCATTCAATACTGGCACTGGTCTGGTGCACATCCAATACTGGCATTGGTCTGGTGCGCATTGCATTCTGGCACTGGTCTGGTGCGCATTCAATACTGGCACTGGTCTGGTGCACATTCAATACTGGCACTGGTCTGGTGCGCATTCAATAGTAACACTGGTCTGGTGCACATTCAATACTGGCATTGGTCTGATGCGCATTCAATACTAGCACTGGTCTGGTGCGCATTCAATACTGGCACTGGTCTGGTGCACATTCAATACTGGCACTGGTCTGGTGCACATTCAATACTGGCATTGGTCTGGTGCTCCTGCTACATATCTAGAGATTCTCAACAATCTCCGAAGACGTGTCCCTGTTATCGGTCATGACCCGGTCTATCGATATCCGTCATTTTCCACCGCCGTGACATCGCTTTTTTCTGTCTTTCCTATAAATATTTTCATAGCTATTGTCTTAATGACCTCTGCTCTTTGGCTATGACCGGTACGTTCTGCTCCCGAGCCTCCAAACCGTTGGGGCAGCCTGATTGGTATCACCGGATAGTGTTTTGTAACACGCGCTTATCTTATCAACATTTGCTTTTTTCTACCTACATTTATATACGTTACAAATTAATCTAAGCACAAAGTACGAAAATATTCGCGGGCTTTGAAGCCATTTTAAGGTCATTTTTCCGTCCAAATCAGTGAATTGGTTTTGCTCATATTAAGTCTAAAAAAACAACTTCGCAATTTTTTATCCATAATCTTAAATATGTTAAAATTATTCAATTTTTTAACAAGAAAAATCGGTTAATTTGTAACACCTGCGCTCAACTCGCATTAGAAAATTTCCAGATTACTTACATTTATGTGCAATTGTACATGTTCCATTCGAATCTGGTTTGATAAATTTGATAAAATCTACCGTTTTGGAGTTATCTACAGTGAAAGTTCGGATTCATTCGCGTCGTGGGCAGCCATTACTGGCGTTGTTTGTATACCGTCACTGCAGAATAGCTATCAGTGTAGGTATCATTGCGCAAACGTAAATAGTTCTCCGGCGCAGTAACTGAGACAAATTTAAGCAAGAAAATTAAGCCAGAAAGTTCTTTTAGCATTCCGCAGCGAATGTTTGCTAACGACACTAATGGCTGCCGACAACAACGCGAAAAAATCCGAAATTTCATTGTCGATAATTTGTAGATACATCGTATTTGCTTTCAATTTTTCTAGTTGAATTGTTCACCTATATCGCATATGGTGATTTTCTAAGCGTAGTATGAGGCACCTAGTGAGGATCGAATTCACTTTTCAGTCGCAATTCATGTATCGCGACACGCTTGCTAACCATTACACCACCCCGAAGTACCCTGGGGATTTTCAAGCCGTAGAACGGATGTGGCACAAGGCCAAAAGTATGGGACACCCAGTGAGGATCGAACTCACTTCTCAGTCTTATTTGTTCTATCGAAAAAACCTTGCTAACCATAACACCACGGCGAAGACCCCTCACCTATATTCCATATGATCCATTATTGTACATATTTAGGTTACAATAAATTTTGATTTAATTGAAATATCGTAGAATGGGGGGGGGCGTATCATAGATTGATGCGGGGGCGAGATCCTTGCACGGGTCCCGCTCCTTCCTACCCTGACTGCATAAAGTTAAACGTAATATTAGAGTGACAAACCGTTCTCATCTTTTTAGTGTTTTTTTTACTTGCCCTCCTTTGCTTTGAAATCCTCTTTCAGTTTCTTACCGCCATGTTCAACGTTCTTCAAAAGTTTATATGGAGCGTCAATCACCAGCTTCTGTCTTCGCGTGAATTCTATTCTTTTGTTGACATTTCATCTCACTAAAGTTTTCTCGTTCTCTTTCAGTCCTAGTAACCACTTGCGTCTTAGTAACATTATAGCCTCGCTTGAGGTGAAATGATTAAAACAAAATTCATTTAACAACTATAGAAAACCTTTGTTACCTGCCATTATCATGGCGAATGCTAGACTCCAGGAGACCAATATACTGCGCCTTCTCCGCCTCAGGTTTTCTATTGATTTAAAGTTGGCCGTCTACATTGAATCAATAGCTGCATATACTGCAAGGAAAGTTGTCTCACTGTGTCTTAGCCGAAAATCTTTCTCGTCAGAATACATCTTTCACATTTTTTAAATTTACCATTCGTCCGTGCATTGAATACTGTTGCCATATCTGTGTGGCACCCTGCATTATTAGAAAATTGAAAAGAGATATTCATAAAAATATGATTTATTTTTATTCGGTTTGTTAACCAGTTGATAGTTATTTAGAGACGAAAAATAATTGAGTTTTGAGAATAATTCTCTAATTGTATTTAGGCGATCCGAAAGAAAGAAAAAGGAAGAAAAAAATAAAAAAAAGAAAGAGAAAGAGAAATAGATAGTACAAAACCCGGTCAAAAACACGCGTAAAAAAACAAAACAGGTGTCAAAAAGATATCAGGTCAAAGTACCTGACTGAAATCCACGGAAAATAGAAATTGTTATATTTGGTTGAAGGAATAGAGTTTAGAAATAATGATACGAGACGGGGTAGTGAGCGAATAGGCACACGCGCGATTGATGCATAACAGATGTCGGTCAAGCACCTGACCTACTTTCGTGTCCGCGGAGTATGGGAGTTTATTATCAATTTGGTTGAAGAAATAAGATTTTAAGGACAATGGAAGAAATATTGATAGGTAGCGAACGGGGAGGGGTGCCATTGAGATGATGGGTAACCGCTGGGAAATTTATACGAAAACAAAACATTGGTACACGAGCCCTGACCGGTTCTGGGGTTGAAGATAAGAACCACCCAAAATGATGAGTGGAAGATATTTTCAATTTAGATAATTAAGATTTTGTTAACAGGCCCGAGCGAAAGAAAGAGGTGAAATATTTGTTTTAGCTCGCGGAAGACGCCGACGAGTCGGAAAAAGTCTTTCCTGGAAATGCCAAATGTGAAAGAAACCGGAGTCGTCATTTTCGTGCGAAAAGGACAATTTGGATTTTGTTTTTCTAAGCAAGGTATTTCTTCCCCCCAGAACAAAGCCACGGATTGCCCACGCCCGATTGGAGACGTCACGAAGGAAGGAGGGAAGATACCGACCAGAGTCTCATTAGCCGAGGGCAGTCACATGATACATGAGGGAGGAGGAGAGACGCCCGACCAGGGTCTCATTGGCCGAGAGCGGTCACGTGATGTGCGAGGGAGGAGGAAAGACGCTCGACCAGGACCCCATTGGTCGAGAGCGGTCACCTGACATACGAGAGACCAGGGGAAGCGGGTATGCGCCCCCCCAGAGACACTGTAAGGAAGTAGGGTGAAAGTAAGAGCGATAATGGGAAATCAGAAATAATGCTACTTTTGGAATTATCAGGAAAACCCTGGCGCAGACAGACCCACCCCAGTTTGTTACGGCGTCAAAAAAGCAGGACCCCAATCGACAGAAATCAGTTGCAGGGCGGACAGCGAGGGAGCTTGAACGCGGGCGGCGGGCCGGTTCATTCGCCCTTGCGGACAAGAGAATCCGGGGTGAAGAAATTCGTCCAGCCCAAGTCGAAGTGGGAAGAAAATTGCCCGAAAGCCTAAGAAGAGCTGCAGCCCGAAAGTCGAAGAGAAGTTAAAGTTGCAGACCGGACAGGCAGAAGAGTTGCAGGCCGGACAGGCAGAAGAGTTGCAGACCGGACAGGCAGAAGAGTTGCAGGCCGGACAGGGAGAAGAGTTGTAGGCCGGACAGGCGGAAGAGTTGCAGGGTGGACGACGAGACAGTTACAGGCCGGACAGGCAGAGAAGTTGCAGTTGGAGTTGGGTTTGCGCCTCGGACGAAGAAGAAGTTAACTTGCAGTTGTGACTAGGAAGTTGGAATCACACCAAGCCTATGAAGAGAAATTCGTCCAAGACAAGTCGAAGTGAATAAATTCATCCAAACTCAAGTCGAAGTGAATAAATTCGTCCACCCGAAGCAGAAGAGAAGTTAATTCGCGCATTGACGGCGAGGGAAATCAGCCGTGAACGACTGGTAGAGATCAGCGCTCAGTGTCGAAACCAAACCACACCCCGAAATGCAAATTTCTAGAGAACAAGCAACTCGAAGTCTTAAAGTTGTATGGTAGAAGCTTGGTGCCACAGTCCACAAAACGGGTCGGGAGGTAGGAACAATTTTGTGTAACGAACATTTAGATATAAAAGGTTGTTAACCTTTTTTTTCAATAATTTTTGACCTCGTGAGTTTTTCTTTTACTTGTGTGTTATCACCCCCGTTGAACCCAGCTGGCATACGGCCCCAACCCCTGTTTGATCCCGTCTGTCTAAGATCTAATCACAACGTGGGTAGGCAGACCGGAGATCAGTGCAGTTACCCTAGTAACCAGGCGTTGGAAGCGAGTTGGGAACGGCGAGGCTGGTATTCATCTAACCAAAGGGTTAGAACGTCACACTTGGAGCAGCGAGGAGCGAACAGCTGACGCCGCGGCAAAGACGTCACAACTGGTGCTGTCCGTGACCAGGATATCAGAGCCTGGAGAGCACGTGACGTCACAACTGGTGCCGCGAAGGAGATCGAACGACACAGTCGACGCTGCGACAAGAGAGGGCGACGTTACACTGGCCAGATGCTCCAGCTGTACATATGGAGATTCTTGACAAAATCCAATGAAGGATCTGTAATGTAATCGATCCTGATCAGACATTTCGACTTCAGTCACTTTCTCGCCAACATAACGTGGCTTCCCTGTCTTTTCTACAGATATTTTCAGTGTAACTCCTCTGACGAGCCTTTTCACTGGTGCCTCGACCACATGAATTTAAGCGTACTACTAGATTGGCATCTATTTCCCACCCTTTGGCTAACAGTCTAACTCTCTGCCTTCGGGCGGAGAGGAACCCGGACGATGTTCCGCCGAAGGGCAGAGTCTAGTTCGGGGTGGTTGACTACCCCTGAACCCGTTTATGCGGGTTCAAAGAGGGAATATTTTGGGCCGAGCCTAGGGGCTCGGAGATCCCACGTTAAACCCGGCCTTGTGCCACATGTAACCCTCGTGGTGGGTAGCTGAATATCACCCTTTTACTGTTGATAGAGTTAAATGCAACGGTCACTTCTACTCTGACAGTGTCTTTTTTCGCCTTTCTCACTTGTG